CATTTATATTTTGTCCACCATAAGTGGTAATTGTGATTTTAAATTTTTACACTGTACGTACCACAGGTCGAACTTTAAAATTTCAATGAGATTTCATTGAATATCGGACGTTTATAAAGCTGATAGCGACCAGATATGTGGCGCGTATTGCAACCTATCGGATAGATATTGCATCCGATAGGCCTATTTGACATCTGATACTTATATTGTAAAATATCCGATATTTGATATTTTGTTAATAGAAGTGTCAGATCTCTAATATGCCTATCAGATGCAATATCTATCCGATAGGAAGCAATACGCGCCAAATATCGGGTAGATGTCAGCTTTATAAACGTCTGATATTCCACTAATATCTCATAGAAATCTTGTCGAAATTTTGAAGTTTCGACCTGTGATACGGTAAAACTTTTATTTGCTAAAGTTATATAATATCTAATTTGTTGATATACCAACTTAAAAGTATATAAAAAGTTTGATAAGTAATACTATATTCTCGAAATCGGTAAAAACTCGAAACTTCATCAAAGGACGTTAGTAATAGCTTTCCAAACCTGATATGCATAGTAAATAAATTTTGTACTATATAGTTTCGAAAGGTATTAAATTTAAGAATAACGACAGTGTTAAATTCCTAAATTCATCGATACATGAATTAAATTATGAAGGGTTTCCTAAATAGAAAATTTTTATAATAATCGAAATTACAGTGATTACTTTTTCCACTTCTATATTTAATTAACAATTTTTATGTTATTCTTTATTAACTATTTTAACTTTAAAGCTGTTGAACAAAAGTGACATCAATGGGCAAACGTAATTTTTATGTTCGGTTTTAACACCAATATTATGTTATATATCTGTTAAAAGAATATATTTATATATAGCAGCCAGAACAATATTTTGGATATATCAAGCAATAAGTATGATTTTTTTTGGGATCACCATATGCAAAAGTAAGGCCACATAATTGTTTTTCGTAAACTGACCAGGTCAGTTTTATAAATTTTCGATAAATAGTCCTTGATAGGTTTTTTGAAAATTTTTTTTTATTTTTCTAGAGACGTATCTCGCGCGCAAAGTTACATCGCGAGATTTCATATAAGCCATGTGATAAAATTTTTAATTATAACGAAAAATGTTTTATATTAATAGTTTACAGATCATTAAAAATTATCATAAATGAATAAGTTTAATGTGTATAATTTTTATTATTAAATTAATTTACATCAGAAAAATAATATTTTTGTTTCTAATTTTACCAAGAAAAAAAAAAATAATAATAACGAATAAAAAATTGATAGGTGATTATAAATTAATTTTTTCTCTTATTAGAACTTTATTTTTACAGGGTTGTATTTAATTATTACAATAGTCTTTATTACAATAGTCATAGGACTTTATCTGACAAATTTATTCAACTTCGTCAAAAATTTATATTTACTTTACAGTTTGTATTAATACACATTTTTAGAAGCACAAAAAAAGTTTAAATTGTTCAACATTATTATATTACATACCAAAAATTGTCCTTTTTGGAATTATACCCACCAATTAGCGGGCTTATTTTCTCCATTAGCACCATTACGATGCAACCCAATCACACTGTCACTGGGTAAATCCACCTCATTATCGCCATCAGGCGAAAAAAAGAAATTTCCACCTTCGTTTGAATCATCTATTCCACGATCATGTCCTTTTACAAATTCATCAGCTTCGTCATTATAAGTGATGTCAGAAGCTATAGATGATGACGAGAATGATCGTGTAAATGGAGATGACCGCTGTTCAAAGGTAGAATCGTTTGCCACCATGTTTGATGAAAGTGGTGAAAATCCTAATGATGAGTTATTTTTATTAAATTTTGGTGATGATGTAGATGACGCTGTTATAGAAGGAATATTGTTTCCAATGTGGATGTGATAAGCATCTTCAAAAGATAATGGTGTTATAGCTGTTGATTAAATGAGGCAAATCTTAGAATTTTATTGAAAAACAAAATAATAATAATTTTTTTTATTATAAAAGGATGTGCTACTTACATGTATCACCAACGGTCTGCTGTGTGTGACCATTGGAGAAACCATTCGACATGCGATCTTTAGATTTAGTGCTAAATGCAGAAAGAGTTGGGCTAGACGGTGTAAAATCAAGTGACGTAGTCATTGCCGTCGATAGATTTACTAATGGTATTATATTAATTAATAAGGTATTATTATTAATTAATAATTATATAAACATTAACATCTCAAATATGACCAATTAAACATGTAAGTACCAGACATATCTCCAGCTCCTCTGCCGATTGCTTTACCCGCTGGAACAAGAACCGCTTTGCTGATCTTGCCTTTATTGTGGTTAGATTTGTTTTCTTCATTCATCCACCCTTTAACACCAAATTCATCATTATTAGCTTCGTTAACAAGTTCTACACTTTCTACAATATCCCTTCGTATTTCAATCTTCTTCGAGCGAGGTACTTCCCCTTTGTTTATAGCATCTTTATAACCAGGTAAAAATACCTGAAATGAAAATTGAGGAGTTGCCCATAATGGTGGAGGTAAAGAAAATTTTGAACTAGTATGGGTTGCAATTTCAGCATTTGCAAGCCATTTTTTTCCATCTCGTTTAGCCGAGCTTTCACTTTCAGCGCATTTCTTTGGAGCCTCAATGATATTTTTCACTTCGGCCCAAGAATTATTACGAATTAGTTGCCACTCGGCAATATCTTCATAATTGGATACCATGTCTAAAGTTCCTAATTCTTTTTTAACAGCACCAGCAATTCCCATACCTATACCCACAACACCTGCAGCGCCACCTACCAACGCTCTACCAACATTTGCGACAGTAGCAGCACTTCCTGATAATTGAGTACCAGCGAGAGTAATTAAGTTATTATTATTTATTTCATCTTTTGCTCCTTGACTAGGAGTTTCTTCAACAACTGTTTTCTCCATCCACAGACGATGTAATGTTAATATACCAGCAGGGTTAAAACTCAACAAATCTTGATATCCAATATCATCTAATTTGTTATCCCGAGTTTCAACCCCAAGATAATTAGAGTGAGAATTGTTTATAGAATTTTGTGACCACGATTGAGTTCTTCTACGACCTGATCTTCCCGTAGAAGTGCCATTTGACGTAACTCCTTCTGTTACAACATTTGGAGATGATCTCCTTTTAGCTTGCCTTTTAGCATGTAAGTTTGCGTTTAATCCCGATTTAGAATTATTATACATAGAAGGTAAGAATTTAACACACATTCCTGGAGGTTTTCTCAAGTAATGTGTAGGGAATGTGCTATAATGAAATGTTGGATATGGTTGTCCATTATATTGCGAATGAAAATTATTCAGATTTCCATTATATTGACTTTGGCGACGTGACTGATCAATTGGAGGAACATTAGCATCAGTAGACGATAATGAATAATGTTCATAAGGCTTATTAAAATAAATGTTTGAGCCTTGTGAAGCAACATTAACGTCTGATGAATCTGATGGTAATGGGGTCCGAGTCTTAATACGGACCACAGGTGATTGCGTAGTTGATTTATACTATAACAAATTTAAAATTAATTAATTTCGTTACTACTGCATTAAAATAGAAAATTTACAACTTACTAATTCATCTACATTATTAACCCATCCTCTTATATGCGAAGGTACATGTGTAGGACCACCATAGGGGTTTATCGCAAACACATGAATGGTTCCTCGTCCACTAGCGACTGCACACCACCTGGAATCACCACTCCAACCCACACCTCCATCATTAACACTAGCATTAGTATAACCTCTAGATAGTTGGTACACATGCTTTAAATTTTTATTACTTCTGCTTTGGCGACGTTTACCAACAATTTCGAATATATGAAATTGGTGGCCTTGAACCGATGTTGAAAACAAAAAGGATCCCGTAGGATTGAATGATAAATGTCCAACGGGATGTGTGTGTGGAGAAAAATGAGCAATAATACTAGGTTGCTTTTTTTGTACGCTACATGAAGTGTCCAAATCGCATATAATGACCTATTTAATGCAAAAAAAAAAAGACAGTCAGATTTTTAAATAAGATAACCTAATACAGTATATTAATAACTAATATGATCGCTTACCGTTCCTATAGCACCATTTTCTTTATCATTTTCATAACCATTGATACTATTTAAGCCTGCCATGTTGCCACTTTCACCATTACCATTATTCATACCGCCCTTTAAATTGCAATAATATCCATTAGATGGACTATCTTGTGGAGAGAATGAACCACGTGAAGCGGGACTAATTGAACCTGCATGATTTTTAATATTTATTGGCATTGTAGCAACCTGTGAATTTGGGTTGGTAAAATATGCAGAGAAGGTTTGATATCCATAGTCGCCTTTATTTAGAATTCGAGAGTTAATAATTATGGTAAAAATTGATGCAATATAAAATGGAAAAAGAGAAATATAAAAAATTGAATATCAAAGCATACCTAAAAATTTTACGCCATTAACAACTTCTTTTGCAACACCTTTGGCAACCTCTTGATATTTTCCAGTTGTTCCTAGCACGCCATCACTTTCATTCACCGCATAACCATCCATATTGGCATCAATTTCTGGAGGATAACTTGTTGTTGAATAAGCCAACAGGCGAGGTCCTAATGCGAATATTGGAGCTCGAGAAGAAGGATGTATCGCAACATCTTGTAATGGTGAAAGAAACAATGGAGCCAGTGTTAAAGGTGAGAGAATATGAAGTCTTGGTGGATTAGTGAGACTCTAAATATAAATAAGAAAATTCAGTAAATGAAATAATAAAAATTTTAGAATTCCATATGTGAAATCACGTACCACAACGATGGCTCGTTCATTACAATTCACGCTAACAACGCTACCCTCATTCTCAAGGTCTAACGCCTTTACAATTTGATTGGTTTTTAGAGAAAAGAATTTTAACACACTTTTCGGTTTTGTGAACATGTCCTGATGGCCATTCTCTCTCTGCGGTATCGGTGTACAACTATCGTATTAAAAACAATATAATAATTTTAATTATTAATGACAATTATCGATAAATAACTTAAATCAATGAAATTTTCAGTCTTACACTAAGCAGATCAACGGACGAACATCCGCAAATTTATCGCGAAGATTTTTAGATGAATTACGCGGATTACATATTGACTATATATATTTAAAAGCGGTGTGAATTAATAATATTGAGAAAGAGGAAAAAAATTTTTATATGTTAAAATAAATAACCACCTTTATGCACGTGACCTGCCCAATATTTTCCTCATCTCTGATAGACATGAGCTCATGAATATTATCAATATCTGATACATTCCATATCTGAAATCCGTCGGGATAACCTAACAGTAGAACCGACTGGCTATCAAAAAGAAAAATAACAATGGTCAACGCAACAAGACAAAACCACACGATAAAACATCAAAAATACACATATGTTTATATATTTATATTTATGTAAAATGTACTTTTTTTCGCAATTATGAGTATTAGAAGCAGAAGTTATAATTTCATCAAATGCTGCGTATAAGATCACATCTTTTTTTTTATCAAAAAGTCCATCAGGTATAGGAAACGATTGAGAACTCATATCGTTGGTTAATTGATGTGGCAAATAATCCGGATAATAATTTATAGGCGGTTGATAGTCATTTGTGGAGTTTGTAGAAATTTTACGTAAAGAGGCAATGGAATTCGGAAGAGAATGCGCCACATAAGAAGACCAACCAGATATAACAGAAGAGATAGATTCCAAGGCCGAAGGGTCTCTATTAAATAATAATAAAGGCTATGAACATAAGTTTGCGATCTCGAAACTTAAACGGTTTGTAACCAGTTACCTTAATAATTTTGGGTCAGCCTTGACTCCGTTGACGTTAGTGAGCTGAGGAAGAGAAGACATTCTCGAGCAAATGATTATACACGATAGTGGAATAAAAATGAAAAGAAAATGCAAAAGAAAAAGCACGAAAAAGAATTTATATATATTAAAACCAGTTTATATAGATTTTTTTCTATTTTTTTTTTAATATTTTAATAAGTATTATATTAAGATATATTAAGATATTAATAAATCAATAAAGAAACAAAATAAAAGAAAGACAGAAAGCAAGGATGGGTTATCTTGTAGAGTGTAACTTTCAATATTTTGATAAAGAAAACATGGAATATTTATACACACAAGTTATAATATGCATATTTATACATATGATCCATGGTGAGTCATAGAATAATCTACCGTAAAAAACTGTAAACTGTAAAATGCTGATTGTGTAACCGAATTGCATTAAGATGATGACCCCACAGTACACTATATCGATATCTGTCAAAGATATATCTAGTAGTTATATTTGGTACCGATACGTATAAATTCGTACTATTCAATAATAATTAATAATATTTGATAATTGTTTACTATGTGAAGATTAAATAATGATCTGGCAAACTCTGGGGCTTTGTAGTTTCATACATCATGATCTGTCGCAGGCTGGTCGTTACGTACATGTGTTTAATTATAAATATATATTATAATAGTGCGCAGTAGTCGTCCAATGGTTCGTTATTCCGGTTGAAACCGTAGATATATGCGCACATACATATGTACGTACATAGCTTTTTTTGCATAATTTTTGTCTCCGAAAATCATCCGTTAGATCCGTTATTGAACTAACACCCGTCAGGTCTTTATTCTCCGCTGTTAATTTTTAACTGCCGAGCAGATGATCATAATACAGTAACAGTAATATGACCATAATATTATATCATGCTCCGTTACACGCTAACGCAAATACTATACAATAATTTTATTTACTTGATAAATTATTTACACACGTGAATTAATATGACTATCAGAAATGGTAATATGTATCGGCTACGTATACGTATAAATATATATATATATATATACTGTATATACTGTATATATAATAACCAAGGTTGGTAAAATGACCTCAATGACTTTAGAAATGACCTGTTCAGATCACGTGATAATTTTAATATAAGTTTCATCTACCAAATGACCTAGGTTATTTGGAAAAGATGGCAAATGACCACAAAATTTACCATCCCTGATAAAAACTATAATACTGTTCACTCCCTAAACACAATATTTCGAAGAGGCAAATTTAGTATATAATATAATTAGCTATTGGTAAAGAATAACACATCTTTAGATGCACCTTTAAGACGAGGTGATTTTTAAATCCTTAAAAAAACAGCAAATGCGTTATCGCACAAAGTTTCCATATTTCCCATTGTTATTATGTTCAAATGACCACGTAATATTGTAGATGGGCCAAATCTCGACTTTCAAATCTGATTCTTTAATATCTTTCAGAATGTTTTTAACATTATCTCCAATCGTCCCGTATTGATCTATAAACTCTTTAACACGTCCTTTATCGCCATCACCTTGCATCATCAAAATTTCTTTTGTAAGGTTTGCGATGGATGGTTGAATGGAATCAAAATCTACCCGGAATTTGTTTTCATAATCATCAAATATGAATCCACCTTGAGGAATGATATAGTTTAACTGAATGACACGACCAAGAGCATGAGCCTATATATTAGATCTTTGGTTGGTTTTTTTCAAC